CTCTGGGGAAGGACTCAGGTAAGACCGCAGCCCTGGCCTGAGAGACATCAGGCGTGAGCGCCAGACACTGGGCTGCGGGCGCAGAGGCCCCTCACGACCCTCTTTGCCTGTGAAGTCCTGTCTGCCGGACTTGGCGGGTGCTGGCCGGGTGGTTCGGGCAGCAGCTGGGCCCAGGGAGGGGCCCAGAGAAGCCACCAGCCGCCGCGCCGCTGTCCACGGTGCTGAAGTGCCCGGCGGCCAGGCGGCCCCAGCTCCCCTGGGCCTTGGGGCTCTCCGTGTCCCCTCGGTGGCCCTGTGTGACGCTCCCCACGATGCCCTGGCTCTCGTCTGGCCCCCCGTGTCCTACCCTCCGATTCACACGCTGAAGCCCCAGCTCCTGAGCCTGCGGCGTGACCTCGTTTGGGACGAGGGTGTTGCCACGTCACCAGCTGGAATGAGGTCACCGGAGGGGCCTGTGGCTGGTGTCTCCACCAAGACACCCAGGGCAGCTCCACGGGCGCGGCCACAGGGGGCACCCGAGGGACTCGGTGAGGGGAGCGCGGCCCCAGCCCCCCCCACCGACACCACCAAGGGCGGGGGCTCACTGCCCGCAGCTCAGAGAGCAGCTGCGAGTACTGTCCCCTTCACAGAGGCCGGACCGGGACACAGGGGACGCCCCTGCCTGGGGTCACACGGGTGGTCAGGGGGACATCCGGGATTAAACCCAGGCAGCTAGCTCCGTGGGCTCTGTGCTGACCGCTGGGCACCTGGCTGGAGTCCGCATCTTCCCCGAGTGTCCCCGGATGTGACGGAGGGTGGCGGTCCCTTCCCTGAGGGACCTTAAGGTCCCAGGACCCCACTCCCGCTGCAGGGGCTGTCCTGCTGCGTGGGCCCAGCCTGAGCTCCTGCCAGCCAGCCAGGACGTGCCTGCAGCCCTGGTCACCCCGCCTGCCGATGGCTCGGGGCCCCGGGGGTGGAGCAGATGGGCAGCCCCCGAGAGGACATCCTGACACCCATGTCCCCCTCAGCGGCCCCAGGGGACAAGGACCCTTCCCTGCTGGGATCCTGAGGCCCCCACACGGAGACCCTCTTCCGTTTGCAGAGTCTCTGGGCTCAACGTTTCCCTGACCAGGGTGACGACCCACAGGGGCGATGGCCGGCGCCAGGGGACGCGCCACCGTGCCTACCCTCACCCACTTCACGGCCAAGGAGACCACCGTCCCCAGGTCACACGGCCATGGGGCCAGGGACGGGATCTGGGCTGAGAGGTCCAGCCCAGCCGGTGTCCCCCCACCGCAGCATTGTCCCTGTTGTAGACCACAGAACAGTGACCGCAGGGAGGCCGAGCCCAGGACGGGCGGCCACGGTGGGCACGAGCTGAGCCCCTCTTCCTGCAGGGACTCTGAGGGCGGGGGCTCTGCACCCTGTGGGGAAACCGAGGCTCATGACGCTGGACAGCCCAGGGGGTCAAGGGGACCTGGCACCTGAGCCCAGGGGATTCTGACGCGCTGCCCAGCTCCTGTCCATGCACTGGGGCCGCCGTCCCACTGCTGGAGGGGCCGGCGCTGCCATCGTCCCAAAAATTCACCCTAGAGCTTGACCATTTTCAGACCAAGGTGGCTTTAGAGCATCTAGGGAAAGAGCGGGAGGACCACCATGGCCCCTGGACACCAGAGCTGGGCTCCTAGGTAAAGTGAGCCCTGGGGCCATCTGGGCTCCCAGGCTCTGCCCCCAGGAGGCCGGGCAAGGCAGCCCCTGGGCCTTTGGTGGCCGGAGAAGGTACCGCCTTACAGAGGGGGACACTGAGATGCAGAGTGGCCCAGGACACACACAGGTAGGGGCTGCAGCTCAGTCCCTGCCTGGCCCCCGCTCATGAGGACACCCTGTGTCCAGCTCTCTGTGAGGGGCGGAGGTGGCTGTGGGTCCTCTTGTTCCTACTCAGCAAGGGGACAAGACCCAGGCTGCTGGGGGACGCCAAGACCCCCAGGCTTGGGCTAGGCGAGACAGGGGACACCTCCCGTGTGGGTCAGCCTGGGCAAAGGGAGGGACATGGGCTGGGGGAGCGGGAGGGGGGCGTGGCCGTGCTGGACAGGGCCTTTCCTGGAGGACAGCAGGACTTGGATCGGCCACCGCGGTGCAGACTCCGGGGCGCTGGGGGCCAGGGAAGGGAGAGCCCAGCCGGGGTGTGCAGGAAGGGCCTCCTGGCTCCCGGCCTGGGGTGCAGGCCGCCAAGGTCACCGTCAGGCAAACACAGCTGGACCCAGAGGAAGGAACAGAAAGAGGGGCCTCGAGGCAGGGCTTTGTGGGGGGTGAGGGCAGGCGGGGACATGGTGCCGCTGCAGGTGTGCCCTGAAGGTGTCCTGGTTGGGTGGCAGCAGCCATATTTGGAGAAAGAGTCTTTGCAGACTTTAAGGACCCTGCGATGAGATCAGATTGTCCTGGGTGACCAGCTGGGCTCCAAGTGCAGGGACAAGGCCCTGGGGAGGGGGCTGGTAGAGCCCCCAGCATGAGT